CGGGCCTCGTCGCTTGGTCTATTCTTCTTTTATCTCCCCATAACAGTAGTCCCCACTCTCAAAATAGAAGACAAGAACATGCTAAGACTTCTATATTGAGAGTACTTGTTATCTGGTGTGAATGACTACTTTTGTGGAACAGCCCTATTTTTAGTCGCTGTTGGTTGTCGTCTCTATAGGCTAACTTTCCTAGCCCCCATTATCTTTGATTGAGTCGGCTGTAATCAAGTCTTTTGGGTCAACCGTACTGTTAGTTTTAGTTTTAACCACCATATTTTGCTATAGGATATAACTCTCGGTTGGACTGGCTGTATCACCTTTAAGTTTCTAACCTGTTTGGGTTTTGCCCATGGTTTTATACTCTAGACTTTAATCTTGGGTTTTCAACCTATTTGGCTTTTGCCAATGGATTTATACCGTGAATCCAGTTGATACCCTTTTGTCGTTGTCGGTTGTCGTTTCATGGGCTGATCTTGCTAGCTCCATACTATTTCTATATAGTTGGCTGCAATCAAGTCTCATGGGCTCTACTATATGGTTAGTTTTAACCTTAGATTTTAGCCTTGAGATCTAACTTATAGCTCGGCCAGCGATACCACCCTTGGATTTCTAACTTTATTTGGCTTTTGCCCATGGTTTTATACCTCCGGGTTTACTCTTAGGTTTCTAACCTATTTGACTTTTCCCAATGGTTTTATACCTTGAGTTTAGTCGGAACCCTTGGGTTTCTAACCTATTTGGCCTCTGCCAGTTTTTTACCCTGGGTTTAATCAATATCCTTGATTGGTTTGACTTGCATGCTTTCTGTTTCAACCTTGCTGGGCCTGTATGCATATCTTTTTCAGCACCTTTAGGATTCTATTCCCTGGTTTCACTGATTGGTTTCCAGTTTATCGGCCTGCTTCTAGGTATGTCCCAGTTTGAGTTCATTGACCAACTATTGATTAATCTATCCATGCCCCCCACTTGAGGAGTTTTCATTAGAATAAAGATAAATGCCCAAGTAGTAAAGAATTAAACAAATATCACATGCTATAACCAAAAGCAAGTAGAAATTTTCTGAAATGTAGGGCCAAACGTAATTTGAGACGAAGTAAACGATAATTTATATAAGCAATTATCAAAGAAATTAAGCCTAAACTATTAACCAGGCAAAAAAGAAAGAAATATTGTCCTGTCTGATCAGGTCGTCACGCGTCATCTTGAGATGACGTAGTAGCATCCATGCAATACTCATTGCTCTCTCCCGACTCTAGCTTGAATGAGTCTGTCGTTGGAGTGTAATTCTTCAAATGGCCTCGTTGATACAACCGGTCTTGAGTTTTGTCAAGACCCTGTTTTGAATGGAGTAGTTCTTCTGCGCTCATATATTTTTTAGCTCGAGTCAATGCTTATGAGAAGGTTATTGGAGCTCTCTTTCTAAAAGAAAATGAAAGCTCTTTATCTCTTATTCCAGATAGGAAAGCGAGTAGTGATATTCCGTCGGTAAGATCTTTGACTAGTAGTCTTTCCTCGTTGAAGCGAGCCACATATTCTCTGAGGCTCTCAGTTGATTCTTGCTTTATGGTCAGGAGGTAAGTCACAGGTTGGCTCCAATTCTGCCATCCAATGAATTGCGTGACAAATGCTTCGACCAGTTTTTTGAAGGAGAAGATTGACTTTCTTCTTAATTGTCGAAACCAGACACGAGCAGTGTCTGTTAACGTGAAAGAGAACACTCTGCACTTGACTGCTTCTGTCATCCCGTAGAGGTCCATCCATTCTTTATACACGTCCAAATGGTCAAAAGGATCTGTCGAGCCGTCGTATTGTTCTATAGCAAGGAGTTTGAACTTTGGAGGGATCTTTTTTCTCATTATTTCTTCCACGAATGGGGAATCTGTTGGCTCTATAATCTCCTCAAGATCGTATCTTCTATCTTTTTGTCTTTTACAGTCTTTCTGTGATCTTTCTGTAAGCTCATGTTGGCTAAGTGATTTTTCTTTATGTAGCGTAGTGTTCTTGAGGCCTTGTCGGGTTTCCTGTCGACGGTAAGTATCATTTCGTGGTTTGTCGTTCCCTCCCATTACCAGTTTACTTCGTGCCAATGGGCTGTTTGTCGACTCCCTCACGTCTCTATTCTCGGGAGCTTTGCCCTTTTGTAGATTTCATACAAGTGCTGGTGGACTCTTCTCTTATTGCTCAAGTCTCTCAAGAGTGAGAGGTGTGTTTCGGTTAACTCCTGCAATCTTCTTTTCTAAAGTAGCCCATTTGTTCTCCTGTTGTTCAGGAATTTCTGTCTGTTGTTTGTTCTGCCCTAGAATCAGTCGTCTTGTATTACCCAGGGCCTGTTCGGGAAGTTGTCGACCTGTTTCACCCTCGGTCGACTCAGATAAAGGCAGCCTCATAGCCGTATGACGTTCGTTGCCAGCATGTTGTGGTCTATTGTTGCGCCTCAGCTTAATAGCTAGAGGATAAGTGCAAGTGCACACTGTCACAATTAATAATCTGGAAGTATTCCATGTTCGTCTCCACAGGGACTAGTTTTTCTTTTGAAATTGAATTTGAAAACGGTTGCAATGAGCAATCGGGGTTGTGATAAAAATTGGTCAGATTGGTTGAACACGAAAAACACATGAAAATAATAGAATTTAAAAGACCAACCCCCCTACTACTATTTAGTTCTAAAATGATGAATTACACCTACCAAATGTGCCCGTAATTACACTCAATTTATGCAAACTGGTTCAACTCCTATTCCATACTGCTTTTGGTTTGTTTAGAAGTTTAGGCTAGTGTTTACATATGTTTATGCAACTCTAGAATCCTAAATAAATTAAATGCCAACTTATGTTTAACGGGTAAGAGAGCCTACGTCTAGGATCTTGTTTTAGTTCTTATTTCTAAGTAACTTCTCGTTTTACCTTGATGAGATCCGTTTGACTCTAAAAGTAACTTTTAATTCTTAATATTTCAAGTTTAAAGAGATAATTTGACAAAACTTTTAAAGAAAGAAAAAAAATTAAAAGAGAAAAAAATGTAGGGAGAGAAATTTGAGAGAGAGAAATAAACTTAGAAAAAGATGGAGACTAAAAACTTATAAAGAGATTAAAAAATGAGAGAGAAAAAATATTAAAAATATATAAAGTTAGAGAGACGCATAGTGAAAAAATTAACTTTCTCATAATGGTAATTATAGTTGTACTAAAAAAATGCTAAATATAAGGTGAAATAGAGAAATAAATTTGAGATTTAAAACAACAACCATTTTAAAAATGAATTTCTTATTAATTTTTGACCACAAACTATTTGGAGAATCATCTCTGTAGTGATTCACAGAGAATCATTTAAGAATTATTGTCAAGTATGTATATTTAAAATGGAAGTAATTTTAATATTAACATGTTAAAATCACTCCCAAACATGTCCTTTAATTGACTCGAGATAATAATCAAAACTATTGAAAATAGAATTGATGGAGTTTACGTAAACATTGTATGACAAAGAAGAAATATTGAAGACGAAGAAAAAAATATATTATTTTAATCATTTCAATTTTAAAAATTTGTGTAGGGACGTTTCTTTCATTATTTTTTGGTATTGATAAAATTATCTTTTATATCCTAAAATTTGGAGGGGGAAGAATTAGAGAAAACTACCAAATCTTCGACTTTTATATTGATTTACTTTTAACATATGACGGCTATATTTAGATGTTGATGTGGATATGTATTGAAGTCTCTTATGTTATTTGAGATGAACATTAAATGTATATTATTTAGCAAAACAGTAGCAATGAACAAAATATAGTTATTCTCACTTTTGCATTTGTTCAAAGAAAAAAAAAGGACTTTTGGAAAATTATAAACCTAAAAGTCCACGGATTTTAAAAAGTAGTTAATCTTATACATTAAAGAGTATAAAATTATCAACGACCAAACTTATTAAATAATTTCATCCAACATTTGAAAAGTATTTAATAGATCTTTAATGAATTTTTTTTTATATAATGTTAAAGGTTAAAGTAATTACGAAAATATACCACTTCCTAAACTATTTCTGAAAATAATGTTTTGGAAATAACAGGTCGTCTATTTAAGAGACGACTTGTGAAGTGGCAAAGATTGGTCAAGCGCCACGTTAATTTTTGTTTTTTTAAATAACGCTTGGTCTAAGAGACAACCAAGTCCTTTTTTCTTAAAATTACATGGCTTGGTTGAAGAGACGACCAAGTCCTTTTTCTTTTTAATTATATGGCTCGACCAAGTTTCATTTTTTTTACTAACTGGTCGTCTCTTCGAGACCAAGTAATTATTGTGTTTTTTTTTTGCTTCTTAAGTTATTTGCTATATTTATTTTATAATTTGATTTTAATATATTTAATATTTAAAGATTTAATTTGGTTAATATCATACTTTAATTAGAAAATAATATTATTAATTTATCAATATTAGAGAATTATAGTTAATTTATCAGATTATTAAATAATATTCAAGATATGAATAAAATATTAATTAATATCTAAAAGGTACAGTTGATTAACCAAAATTAAGCATTATAGTTCATCAATCCATCTAATGTGTGCCACATGAGGGAGGTCGTCGATGACGATGTGRTTGTCGACGACGAGCTCTCGGTGCCTGTCTATTGATCCTCGTTAGGGTTGATGTATTGTCCATAATCTCCATGTCCATGTCCATGACCTTTATAATCATATTGTACTGGTGTGTGAACCTGGATGGAATCAGGAGTCGGTATCATAACCATAGGTGTGGATGTGTCGGCATCATCTTGTGCTGTGTGAAAGGTGGAGCGTGATTGTGTCATTCATCCAAAGTGTCTACCAATGGCATCCATATGTGCTTCATAGTCTACTCATTTGAACAACTACTTTCAAAACTTTCAGCTAAGATGACCGAGGAGAACTATTGTAATTTATATCAAAGTTATCAAGATAGTGCATTGGATCCTCCGAGATCATATTTTTTGTATTAATTAAGTTACCTATTCTACTTCATGTTTCACCACTATTTGTATATAATAATATTTTATACAAATATTAAGTAACCCGAGCACTAAATACGTAGGAAAGATTGCAGAAACACCTTCCAAATATGAGCATCAGCCCAGATCAGTGCTATCTTTGTGAATCAGCGTATGAGACTTTAGATCATATTTTTCTCCACTGTAAGTACACAGAAAGTATTTGGTATCGTCTTTTCGATACTTTCCATATTTCTTTCGCTCTCCCGAACCATATTGATAATTTCATTGTTGAGGTTCTACCTGTTCCACTCACTAAACCAAGATATATTCTCTAGAGTAACGCTGTGAGCTCGATTCTTTGGCATATCTGGTTGGAGAGAAATCATTGTACTTTCTCAGGCACATCGAAGTCCCCGGCCAACCTTTGAGAAGATATAACTATTTCGGCTTCTCTTTGGTCCTCTAAAAATCCCCCTTTTTTTATAATGATGATGCAACCACCATATCTCTAAATTTTAGTGATTTCATTTAGTCCTATTTTTTTTGTGTATGTTTCTCACATATTTAAATGTAGTTTTTCCAAATAATAATAATAATAATAATAATAATAATAATAATAATAATATTTTATTTTTTAAAAATTCTAAGATTATTCTAATCTTTATATATGTCAATATTTTACATATATTGTTCAATTGTGTAACTAAGAACTAGATTGAATTAGAAATTATCAATAAAGCAAATTTCAAATCTTATTAGTTATAATTTATACGGTATTAAAATTCGAATATTTCATTGAACAGACTAAGATTATAATCATCGAGGTTGTAAGAAATTATAGACTATAGTGATATAGTAGGAAAATGATGAAAATAAAATAACCTTAAAAGAAGAAGAGGAAAAAAAAGACATGTCGACATTTTGTCGACATTTCGACATGTCGACGATATGAGGGAAAATCGACTTTTACCCCCTATGTCAATGATGACATACTCGACATGTCGAGCGGCATTTTGAACCCTGGGTGTAGGTACTCTATACAACTGATGAAGCCTTTGAAGATATCTACCACTAGTGGTACACAAGCTATTAATATCTTCTGACGATGGGATGATACTAATTTGTTCAAAACATGCCCGTCTGCATAGAAAATGAATTAAGATAAATATATAAAATTCAAATAATTTGTAAAGCAAAATTGAAAAACATTGAAAAACATACAGTAGCACTAGACGCTGCTCCTTCTTGAGTGATATAAAGTCTATTAATTGACAAATACCAACTCATGTATCTGGGATCGCAATCACCATCATCGTCCACCAGATGACTAATAGCAATATAATCTCTACGCATGCACCACATTGCCACAAAAGGTGTTACATGGTCCTGCCATCCCCGATGTCGAAGGTCTATATCATGTATCTTCGGGTCCCAACTAGGAACATCTGGAATTGATTGTTTCATCCCGAACTGCCTACCAACTCTATCTGGATGATGCCACTCAACAACATGAAAACAAATGAGTACACTTACTGTGCACCAATTTCATGTCCGTTGTTGCACTAATCTGGTAGGGATGTAAATTCCTTATTATATGGTCCCAAATCATCTGAAATATTTAGACAAAAATATCATGTCAGTTTATGCAAGGTTATGCACAACAGTGTGTTTCTGATTGCAGCTCGAACTCGGCCTCCGGACCGATCTGTATACTTGGGCAGACCTGCACAAAAGGGTGAGCACTCCGACGATCAAGTTAGTATAGGTCGGATTCTCATTTTAGTTCGAGGTCAGAAATCATCGTACCTGATCGTGGAGTGAGATCCTCTACTTATAGGTGGTAGTCCCGCTAATCCCGCGACGGTTATACCCGGTAATCTCAGGAACGACGGTTACACCCGGTAATCTCGGGACCGACGGTTACACCCGATAATCACGCCGCTGACAGTCGCTCACATCGGCCCCCACCGAGCTTCCCGGTAGATCGAACCTTGGCCAGGTCGCACCTCGGCCCTCATACTTAGAACCTGTCAACGCTAGTGGCGGTAATCTCGGCGGTTCAAGCTGGGGCATGACTCATGGGTCATCTTGGAGAACCAATGGCTGTCCTCCACGTGTCCAGGGTATTCTTTCCCCAAACAATGTCAAAAGTCAACCAAGTTATATATATAATTTTAAATATTTAAATACATACCGATCCCAGTGTCAGGAAGTCCGACATGTATCTATACTGAACCAATACATGTGTCGATAATTCTGTGACACAAAATTGATCTCTCCACCTACAATAATACTCTAAGTTTGTCAAGTTGTATATATATTAAAAGAATTAATATTATGTCACAATGAAATAGTTAGATAAGTATATTGTGCAGCTAATGGTTGTCCTGCTAGCTCATGTTCCGCGATGTTGCGACGAGCTAGAGCCATGCTTGGGAACCGATCCCAAGCCCATACATGAAGAAGTATAATCAGACCAGCAATGTCTCGTGAATCAGATCGACATGTCTTGCATAAATGTTGATACAACCATACCAAGCATGCTCCTCCCCAACTGAATCGTCCAACAATTTCAAAATCAGCCAACAACGGAAGGAATATCAAGTGAACCAAGTTATTAGACTTATCGGCAAATAGGCTACCACCGATAAGTTGCAAAATGTAAGCACGAGCATATCTAGTTCAATGATAATCCAACCATTTCAACAAAATGTCCAAAATCAATACCACTATTAACAGTGAAACTCCACATGACTTAAATTTGGTAACTAAATCTAATTATACAAATTAATAAAAGATAAATTAAAAAATTTTAGTTAACTAATTAATAATAATTAACCAATTAATTTTAATATTTAACAATTTACTTGTAGTTTAAAATTTATAATGATTTAATCTCATTTGTAAAATCTGAAAATTTAATAAGATTTCTTATATAAAAGTAGGAGAAATAAATATGTTCATTAAGATACAAAAATTGAATCATTATATAATAAAAATAACAATTATGTTTTATGAGATTTCTTTCAGTATAGACTAAATCATTAAGAGTTTTGAATTATAAGAATAAATTATTACGTACCTAAATTTGGGAGCGTAGAACAATTTAGAAGTACAAAGAGTAAATTGTTGGGCAACCTACATTAAGCGATCAGACATTGACGGAAGCCTTCTCAAGAAGTTGAGCGCGGGCGACGGCAGCCAGTCCCGGAATACTGGGTGGCGGAGATAATAGAACCCAAACGCCACCGCCACCATTTTGGACGGCACCACGTACAACACAACCGCCACTGCAAAGCAGAACGCCGTGAAAATCCCGGTGGCGCGTGGGTCACGCCACGTCACCAACGCCTGC